TCCTCCCCGCTCGGCCATCCTGACAGCTGCGGGCGCGGCTTCTCTCCCCCTCGCCGCTCCGCCATCCTGACAGCAGGCAGCGCTCCCTCCTGCGCCCCCCACACCCCTAAAGTAGGGGCGAGGGAGGGCGGACGAGGGAGCGCTGTCATATCGGATGGCCAGCGGTGAGGGGGAGGAAAGCCGCCCCCAGGACGAGCTGTGTCTGCCGCACGGTGCCCTTGTTGCCATGGCGCCCTGTGCGGCCGCACGGTTAGCACACCCCTAAGGCCGGCCCTGTCAGGACTGCTTTGTGCACTGGTGCGCAGTCATGTTGGAACAGGAAGGGGCCGTCCCCAAACTGTTCCCACAAAGTTGGGAGCATGAAATTGTCCAAAATGTCTTGGTATGCTGATGCCTTAAGAGTTCCCTTCACTGGAACTAAGGGGCCAAGCCCAACCCCTGAAAACCAATTCCCACCCCCACCAAACTTTACACTTGGCACAATGCAGTCAGGCAAGCACCGTTCTCCTGGCAACCGCCAAACCCAGACACGCCCATCGGATTGCCAGACAGAAGCGTGATTGGTCCAGAGAACACGTCTCCACTTCTCTAGAGTCCAGTGGCGGCGTGCTTTACACCACGGCATCCCAGGCTTTGCATTGCACTTGGTGATGTAAGGCTTGGATGCAGCTGCTCGGCCATGGAAACCCATTCCATGAAGCTCTCTACGCACTGTTGTTGTGCCAATCTGAAGGCCACACGAAGTTTGGAGGTCTGTAGCTATTGGCTCTGCAGACAGTTAGCGACTTCTGCGCAATGTGCGCTTCAGCATGCGCTGACCCCGCTCTGTCATTTTACGTGGCCTACCACTTCGTGGCTGAGTTGCTGTTGTTCCCAGTTGCTTCCACTTTGTTATAATACCACTAACAGGTGACCGCGGAATATTTAGTAGCAAGCAAATTTCACGGAACACCGGAATCCAATGATTTGGAGGGGCGTCCCAATACTTTTGGTAATATAGTGTATATATTAATGGCCTTGCTTTTGCTGTTCCTTAGGGTAGGCAGCCTCACTCAAGATTTAAAGCACAGGTAATGAGATCCCAAACAGCAGGGCAGGAATTAAACCGGCTACAACCTGATTTTTAGCCTTTACAGCATCAGAAAAATTATAAACAGCATTTCCAGTGCAAGTAAAATTAAGCAGCATGTGCAACGTAATTATATCTCACAAAAAAAGATATATTCTAGCCTGTCCAGCCTTAACTAAACAGCACAATCCCTTTCTAGTGCGGAAATGGAATTGATCCCAAAACAGACAGTAGTTCTAACTTCAAAAGCTGCCATTACACTGTCTCTCTCTGCAGGGCAACATGCTCTAAAGGTGGCCATACACTTTACAACCATCGCAAGACCTTAGTCTTGCGATGGTTGTAAAGTAATTTTAAAAAACTGCCCATCTTGGACAGGCAAATCATACTTGCGATCATCGCAAGCCCGCCCCCCCGAAGGGCGGGCTTCCGATCCTGCAATGCTGAAAAGGCAGTGTGCGCGTGCGCACACCGGCCCGTTCGGCATTTGTCTCCCGAGCATCATTAAAACCAGCCGAAAATTGTAAGATTTTCGGCTGGTTTTCTAGCGTGCTCCTTAGACAAAAGACGTGCGACCATACAGTAGAAACGGTCGCACGTCTTCATTCACACTGCTCGATTCTCATACGATCACGGGATTTCCCGCGATTCTCGTACGAGAATCGTGCAGTGTATGGGCACCTTTAGGCTTCCCCAAGGTGTGAGACAGATTAATTTGGAGGCTGCTGTCTCCTCTATCCAGAACAAACACGTTAGTGGCATAGTTACCCCTGAATACTTCATTTAGTGGGGCACACACAGAACCCCTTCTTGGCAAGTGAGTTCAGAGTCAAGTTAGGAACACTTGAACAGCATGGTGGTGTCATGTGACCTACTGACCTGGAATTGGTATGGACGGCATACCAATTCCAGGTCAGTGAAACTGCTAAAGCCGCTGGATCAGTATGACAGCCCAGCAACCAGCTTTTTCAGTAGAAAAGGTCAGCCTAAGCCTCGCATTATCTCAGTTCAGGTTTCCTGTACAGGGGCTGCCATTACTCTAATGTCTCCAATTGTCCACTTACAACTTGGGGGGGTCACATGACACCGCCATGCCAGTCATTGCAGCAGCAGCACTGCGTGTACACAAACTCATTGCCACTATGGGAGCTGAGGGGTTGCTTGCAGTTCCACACTAAGCTCCTGTCTTCTGGCAGAAGTGATCTTCCCTCTGAGGGATGAACCCAGAAGCACTCAGCTCTGAGCACTCCCAGGTTCAGCATTGTCAAACCCTGATGGCTCTGTCTGGAGAAGCAGCTCATTGTGTTTAATGAATCCTGTTTTAGGGGGGGCTTCTTTCCCCTGCAGAGTCCTATGGAGCCACCCTTGTGTGTGCTAGTTAGCTGCGTGTGTCTCTACAAACACACAAGCACAGCAAGGCAAGACACTCCCCCCAGCTCCCCTCTCCTCCTTCCTTCTCCAAGCTAGTAGATGGACGGCTGCTGGAGTCTGCTCTGCCCCCTGTGATCTTGTACTGGACAGGAGGTTCAGGGAAGCCGAGCTGTGAGAGTTGGAGCTTTTTGAAAACATGACGACTGTAAGTGCTTGGGTAAAGAAATACTTTGCTGGCCGATGTCTACTTGTGTGATCTAGATTCATTATTGAAAAGAACTTTGAAAGTTTAATGCGCCGGTTGAGAGAGAACTCACTTTAATAATTCCCTTTATCAGCCCGATCTGCCACGGTGACCGACCGAGGGACTCGCCTCGCTCTGCAATGCAAACATGTAACAAATGCACATAATTGATTTCATGCGGGTGAATTCATTTCTTTTGCAAAAGGTGGACTATGCCTGTGAAGCCTATCTCCAGGTAATAAAAAACAAACCTCCCCGCTCTCCCGCTCTGCAAGGGTTAATTGTTCTTTTATGTCTATTAAAGGGGAAATCCACTTTCTCAGCTGAATTTAGGAAAATGGAATTAGCCCCCTCCAATCTGGTGCCCCCCCCACCGCTATCCTTACCTTTGGCCAAACCCTCCTTCCCCTCCACCGATGCCGCTGTAATATCCCTACTCCATACACGGCAGCGCAGGCCTACCCTCTGTATTTTGAATTGCGCTCGCAAATGGCCAGCACTCATTTGTCAGTGTGGTCACCTGACCGAACTGAACAGTAGAAGGGCTTCTGACCTTGCTGACCAATGAGAAGCGCTTCTTGCTAAGAATATTGTTGCAAAAAAAATTTATACAAAAAATGATTAATAATAATAATAATAATAAGAAAAAATGATAAAAAATAATAAAAATAATAATAAGAATAAATAATAAAATTAATACTACTAATAATAATACAAATAATAACAGAAAAATAATAATAATAATAAATGCACATTTTTCTTTTATGAAGACGTCTGCCTTTTTTCCACCAAAAAGATGGACTTACCCTTTAAGCAATGCACAGCTGGGACTGAGTTAGTAAAACCTAGTAACCAGACAGCCAAATCCTAATACAAAGTCAGATCTGGAACTGGATTAGAAAACTTTGTAAGAAATTGATAAAAGAAAGTCTAAACAGCCGGGGCTGAGCGGGCAAAATGTAGTAACCGTGTGGCCAAATATCGATCCTGAAGCTTTAACAGCCAGAAAAGCAGGGAATTGATTGCGAGGCTGATCGATCTACATGATCAGGTTCACAATGAACACACATTAGCCAGTTTATTCAAGATGTTCTGCAGCAGCTGCCCAGTGTAGTCAGAGCAGCATGCACAGTGCCAGACTCCACTGAAATAGCTGTAATGAAAGGTGATATAAATAGTCTGGGAGGGTCAGTGTGAGTGGCACGTCTCTTGCCAAGCTGTGCCCAAGTAAAAGGGGGTCAGTGTGAGTCTTGCAGCAGCAGCAGCAGCAGCCTGTAGCGCCTCCCTCTGTGGGCAGGACGAGCCTCAGCTCTCTAAGACTCTCCAATTCCAGCCCAGGCTGCCTCCAGTCTGTGTGCCAGCAAAGCTGCGATCAGGGTGTGCAGTCCCAGGATGGATCCCAGGGTGCAAGGTAAGAGCCAGCTCCATCATACCAGTGCCATGGCATCAGCCTGGGCACAGCTGCTCATAGGCACTCATTGTCTTCCTTTCCTTCTTTTATCTCCTGGATCACTGGTGTTGTCACGTCTGTGCTTTGTCCTCCAGCCTGCTTCTGCTTCTTAACCCTTCACTGGCCGCTCGGCTGCCTCTCTTGCCGTCCAGAAGGGTTAACAATGGATTGCACTTTGCAATGGACAATGCATCGGCTTGTATTAGCTCAGCGCTCGCTGGGAAGGGCGCCCTCTGGTGTTCAGGTTGGGGTAGTGCATCTGACGCACGTGTATGGTAATGCATAGGGGTTGTGTTGACCACGCACAGGGCAATTGTCGGGAAATTTCAGCCACTGGCAGAGGAATTAAAAAAAACAATATAACAGATTCATAAAATATAATACTATATAATTTAAAGATATTATTATGTCATTAACTAGGTAAAATATTATCTTTAAATGATATAGTTACCATGCTGTTGCAGTCCGTTTGTTAGAAACAGATGGTAGCAATGGGGTATTGACAGCTGCTATGGGGCCTGGAGGTGGAAGGGGGCCCCTTAGGTTGTTGAGGCAAATTAAACATAGAGTGTGTGAAGATAACACAGTACTGTATCAGAGGCATCCCCAGGCCAGGTGTCACCCGCTGGCACGTCATTATGCATTTATGTGAGGCCATTACTACTGGCGTCCATCACCAAGAGAAAGAAAAAAAAAAAGGAGGGAACCTTCATCCAACGGGATAAGGTGTCCCCTCCCAGGGGTGTCCCGACTCCAGATGTCTCCTGGAGCGGATACCGGGTAACATCCTGTCGTGACGTAATCGTGCATGCGTGGCCATCTTTGTGATACCTGCCAGCGGCCATCTTGGTGATGGACGATGGTAGAGAGAGGAGGGGACTTCACCGGGCGAGATAACGTATGTTGCCGGGGTCCCTTCCTCTCTTCTGCAACTGTCGGGCTCTCGGTCCATGACCGAGTGCTCAACTTTTCAGAGGGGGTGACACCAAAATGACTGTTAGTCATTTGGTGTCACCCCTCCAATGGTGTGATGCCACTGTCCCCTTCTCTCTTGTGCAGTTGTCAGGCTCTCAATCCATGACAGAGTGCCTGACTTTTGAGAGGGGGTGACACCATATTGACTTTCACACCAGCCCCACAGAACGTAGGCATTGATGTGCCGCCCGTTCTGTTGCTGGTGATCACACTGTGCCCCAGAACGCAGTGAGCTGGCCGGGATGCGATCCAGTGCGTTCCGGCACCGAAACGTGCCGGAACGCACTGGGGCTTGTGTGAACTAGCACTCAGCCCACAAAAATGCTGTGTTACGTCAGCCCACAACAAGACTTAGGAGCCGAGTGCATTTCTGAGAGCATTTTAATTTCAGATGCATATGAAGAATCTTAGCAGGAAAAAAATGTTTTCAGTATTCTAAAAACCTTGCTTCTGTGTTTGGTTGTATAGGGGAGTGGAAGGGGGAGGGGGGGGGTCATATTTGGCTGTTTCTTCCTGAGTAGTGCTGCGCAATGTTCACTGCTTCTCACCCTCAATGGAAGTCCACGGCTCTGAAATTTTTCCCCTATGTATGACTGCTACAGACTTCCAGACTCCATAACCATTTATTGTTTTCTGAAACAAAGGTTCTGTTCTAGGCATGTCAGAAATTCTGAGCGGTCCTGGGTCTTGTGCACACTCTAGGTGTTATCTTAAAGAGAGTATTTAGCCCTCCCAGTCCTTGTCTTAGACTACAGAACAATGAGCCTTTAAGTTGTAGAGAATGGGAGCAGTTGAGTAGTTTATAAAAAGACAACTAGGAAGGGCTGACACCACTCAGTCTACAAAAATCCTGTGTGTTGTCAGGTGTCCTTCTGCACTATCAGGATCTTCAAGTGGGTAAAATAGGCAGGAATGAGCATTATGTCTTGCAGAGATATACTACATATTATTACTTTTGCCCTGACTATCTCTCTATCAACAATGAAAACCCACCAAACTGTTGCACATTCTAGTAGACCTCCTGAGCACTTCTTAAAGTGTTGCAAAGATAATTCACCTTCACAGCCTCAAGTCAGCTGAGCACTTCAGGGCTATTCAGCTTCATCGAGGAGGTTCCCAGCAAGCTTGTGACAATTTAGAGACAATTCTCCTTGTGAAGGCATTGAAGAATGAAGCATAAACTCGTACAATAAGTCTGCGCCTATATGTACTATGAGGAATAAGACAATTTAAATGGTGCTGATGATGCCACAAAATTGATAAATCCCCCTCATTGTTTCTGCGTATGGTTGGGCATGATATCTGTATTCGTCATATTTGGTTATTACTATTATTTGGATATTGCTGAGTAATACTGCACAGTGGTTGTGCTTCACTGCTTCTCACTTTCAGTGCACGTCTATGGCTCAGGTGTCATATGGAAAAAGTAAGTGCAACCTTAATATTTTCCACCACTTCGAATCCATGAAATTGGAATATTAGTGTCACGACCGTGGTGCGAGCCCGGAGTGACTAGGAGGACCTCCCTTGCAACCCCGTCTGCGGACCTCTGGAGGTGCAACAGGGGGGCACAGGCAGGAGCAGCACGGGTGCCAGATGTGGACTTCAGGTCGCCAGCCGGGAATGGAGCCCACTGGGATGGCAGGTAGACAGGTGAAGATCCACAGAGTAGAAAGCAAACAAGCCGGGTCAGGAACCAGAGGGCAAACGGTACAGAAGCAGGATCCAAAAGAGTCGTCGGGCAACCCGGGTCAGGAACCCAGAGGGCAGCATAGACAGAATCAGAATCCAAGGGGAGTGATCAGGGACAAGCCGAGTCAAGGTAAAGAATCACAGAATACAGATCAGAGCTGGGGCTGGGTGCAGGCTGAAGATCACTCAGCAATGAGCAGACTGCTAAGGCTGTTTATATAGCCTGGGTGATGTCACTATTAGGATTCCAGATTGGGTGCCAATGATTAGAGCCTCCTTAGGGAGAATGCAGGTGGGATGGATCTTATTTAAAGCTCTGATATCTAAGGTCTGGGGTTCTCTTTGCTATTGACATGTGAGGGGGCAGTAGAGGCCTCTAAGGCCCTCAGAAGGGTTGTGGGTGACTATGAGCCCGGCAAGGAATTCAATGATGTATAATCAATCATTCAGCTGTGAGGAAAAATAATCTGCAAATAGATTTCAAACAATTGTCCAGAACTGGCTGGTCCAGCAAACGTAGCCACACAGCTGAATGTTTGATATCACAAGAAGTCTCCTGGAACCCCAAAATGTCATAACGGGATCTGCAAGTAACTCTTACAACAGTTGGGGGTCAAAGTGCATGCACCAGAAAAAGGTTGCACCAATTCAACCTGCATGAAAGGTTTGTAAAAGCGGACCTTCACCCCTTTTAACTAAAAATCACACCAGCATCTTACATTCATTGGTTAGTCAAACATATTTTATTTTACTTACAATTATTGTTTTTCCACTTCCTGGTCCTCTTGGGCATTAGTGCTTTTAATGTGCCCAAGCGTTGCATCCTGTGAAGGTAACATCAGCAGAGCATTGCTGGGAAATCTCATCTGTAATCTCACGAGATCTCATGGAAAGGCATTTTCCTTCCCTGAGATGATGTGCATGGTCACATGTCCTAGTCACATGTGCCAGAGTTCCAGGAAGTAAAGGGAGATGGATTTATCTGCCTTTAGTAAAAATGGCCACTGTGAGAAGAATGGGGAGGCAAAGAAAAAAAAGGTATGGAAAGAATAAAAAGCCGGTGTTCTATGGAAAGTTCCAACTTGTCGACCTTTCCAACAGGTGATGTCACATCCGGTGACTGCCAGGAGATCTACAGCAGATGGTGCTAGTGCGCATGCCCAGGAAATCCTTGTCGAACTGTCTAGCTATTGCCACAGCGCCTGCGCGGCTATCCACTTCTATAACCTACTACAGTTATATTTGTTCTAGGTTATAGAAGCCGATGAGCCGATGGTTGCACAGGCGCAGTGGCTATTGACTCATCGGATTCTATAACCTAGTCAAAGGTTATATTATGTTACAGCGCCTGCGTGGCCACGCGATTCTTTCTACAACCACAGTTGCCACTGCACCTGAGCGACTATCGGCTTCTATAACCTAGGACAAATATAAAATGGTAGGTTATAGAATCCGATGAGCCGCTAGACGCGCAGGTGCAATGGCGACAGTTCAACAAGGATTTTCTGCCCATGCGCTCTAGCTCTATTTGTTGTACATCACCTACTGGCAGTCACCGGATGTGACGTGCCCAGTCGGAGAACTCGACAAGCCGGAGCTATTGATATATTATCTATAAGTGTTTGTAGATTGTCATTACTAAACATTTCTGAAGGTGCATTTGCTGCTATTGTGAAGGGTAACATTTCTCTTTAACCCCTTCATGACTGAGCTTGTTCTTAGTTTCTGTTCGTAAATGACTGACACGCTTTTGGCATTTTTGCTGTGTGATTCTTCCACGGCAGTAATATACTTTCTTACTAAATGTACCCACACATATTATATATTGTTTTTTTAGAGGACAGATAGGGCTATATAATTATATCACATATGTGCACCTAACACCTCACTTAGGACAAATAAAATATTACAAAAAGAGGAAAAAACAAAAAGAAAACACTTTTTTCCCAGTTCTGATTTGTAGTATTTTTTTTTTTAGAAAAATAGCACAGCTAAAAAAAATGCAATACATACATTCATTTATTTGTCCTTTGTTTGGAAAAACCTCAAATTCCTAGGATTTTAGAAATGTTTCTGTACTTCTCAGCCTAAAACTAAAACCTAACATTTTAATCTTTTTTCTCTAAAAGATAAAGCTAAAAGTGATCACCCGGCATACAATGTCACTGTCACTAAGTGTCACACTTCGTGACAGCGACATACTTTGAATATTGCTGTCATGAAGGGGTTAAATAAAAAAATTAAAAACTCCTTAGGGTGAAAAACAAATCTGCAGCTAATTTTTTATTTTATTT